CCCCAAAACCCCAAAACCCCAAAACCCCAAAACCCCTGACTAATAATAAATATTGATTATAAATTAGAAAATGAATAGGAAAGAGTCTCGGAAAATATTAGAAATCACTGGAGTTGCAGCTATTTTATTCTTTGTCCCCTTGGGCTATTTTTACAACAGAGATACTATCACGGCCAAATGAAACTCCATGTATTATAAGTAAGCTATTTGGACCAAATATGTCACTCTGCAGTTGAGGTTATATTTGGATTATAAACTTTCTCTATTTCTTTCCAAGTGAAACAGTATAAATTAAAATTTTAAGAAATTTCCTGATTTTAATACGAAATAACCCACCTTTGACGTCCATAGGGGTGAAGTAGTTTAATGTTGGTTTTAGGATGTTTTCCATCTCGGATAAGCAATACGAAAGATATTTGAAACAGCAAAATTCACAAGTAGATTTTGAGAGTCAAAAACAATCAGAGTCCGACCAAGAAGCTGACAATGAGAATCCTAAAAATTAAAAACATAATAAAAATTAGAGAAAGAGGAGTATTTTATAGGACTAGATGATAAATCCAAATTTTAAATTATTAAGGTGATTTGAACTATTTCATAAGGATTTGTATGTCTCCAATAATTCCACACCTTTTTGAAAGAAGTTAAATTAGCCATGCATGTTTCCGCGCATGCCCGATTGGTCCCTTTCTCAACTCGGATTGTACGTTCCTTCATATCTAGAATTTCTTCGCCCAGCACCGGGACCATTTGAAAGATCAAGAGCAGGAGAGGGATTGTTGTTACTCGTGTGATGAGAATGGCGAATGTAACTACCACTATTTTTCCGGTTTAATGAATTAGGTGCCCGGTTCGGATTCCCGTTCATGCCAACTAATTTACTTCTAGCAGGAGGATATTCTTGAGCTATATAATGCCCTTTGCTTCCGTTGAGGTGCTCCCGGCTTGACTGTCCATAACCATGCCGGTCATACTGCAGGCTCTTATCATTGGTAGGCATACTATGAGGGTATCTAGGATAATTAGAATACTCAGGTGCTCATGAAGCCTTTGAATTCAGATATCTGGGATCCCCCACTTCCTGTCTCTTCTCTAGAGGTCTGGCAGAGAGTTTTTGGACTTGCCCAAATATCTTCTTACTTAGTGAAAAAGAAGGTTGTTCTAAGCTTATATAAGATATCTGGTTTGACAAGTTATTTCAGATCTAGCTCCATATATATAGATTCGAGGACATATGGGCTCAAGCAAGCAAGGCTCATTTTAGGAGTAGAATTTTCACCTTGAGCGGTATTTACACGGATGTCAAAGAAATTGAGGTCTATATGAAATTCCTTTTTAAAAACAGCAAAGAAGTGCTCTAATTCGCTTCTTGTTAATTGAGTAAACAACCTCTTGATGAGCTCAACTCTTTGCTGTACAGAAGTTCAACAGTGATTGGTTACAACTTCGTTCAGTGTAGCAAAAAGTTTCTCGCTCTTCACTGAAAAAGCTGAGAGAATAGCTTGCGTTGAAAAATGATTATCGCCTTCAGATAGTGGCTCCTCTTCAGCCTTGAGTCGATTTTGATGGGTCTCAGATGCCTCTTTAGTCATGTTCAGATTAGCAGTGTTGATTGGTGTTGGGATATTCTGTTGCGAGGTGAGATTTTTCGAAAGAAGACTCTTTCTCAAACACTCGTCTGGATTCTGGATTTCTCTCCCTTTGATTTCAAGTGATCCTTCATCCTCAACAGGGTCAAGCTTTATCTTCATCTGACTTACAGGTAACTCTTCATGGGTAGTTTTATCGTCAGTTTTGTTGAATTTGTCATATCCATTTCTCATATTTGCTTTATCTAGATTGGCTTTTTCTTCATCAAGAGTTTCTCTTGGAGTTGAGGGCTCAATATTTTTCTTTAAGTCTGTAGATATTCGAGCAACTTCGCTTCTAGCAGGACCCCTTTTACTTATGGTACTACCTCTACGAGATAATGATACGGAAGCATCCAGATTCTCTGGATGTACCATGTAATCCATTTGGTCTAATAATTCTGAACTGATATACCCCTTTGTATTCTTAGTCTCCCTCTGCCTCCTTGATCTGGATTTTGCCGTTATATTGATTTTCGCGTTATTCCTGAAAGGAGCCTCGGCTCTGGGTCTCCTCCGAGATGAAACCTTCTTCAAATAATTCTTTTCAAGCAGCCTAAATTCTGGAGGAATGTTCTTCATTATTGAATAAGCTTGGGCTGTGGGAAGACTCAGATATAAGCCTTGAGCTTGTGGTTGATCAGCCCGTGCTTGATAGGACTTGTTCTCTCCCTTATTTAGAGAAGATGCTTCTGCGTCTGACCTAATACCTCTACTAGCTCCTTCCTGTTCCTCTGACTGATTACTAAGTCGAGGTGAGCTTCTATTCATCTTTAAAAATATATTAAATAGTTTTAATTATTTATCAATTTCCTATCTCAATACGGGGTTTTGGGGTTTTGGGGTTTTGGGGTTTTGGGGTTTTGGGGTTTT